GTCCTAATGACCTCCTCGCTGAAACCATCTTCACAGTGTCAAAGGGCAGCCAAAAGTGCGATAAGGGTCTTATTTGCGCTGAGGCGAGGATTTGTGCAGATCGACAAGGAGCTGTTCGGAAAAACCTATGGGGCATTCGTCCGGTCTCACTTAGAGTATGCAGTCCAGGCCTGGCGACCGTGGTTAAAGAAAGATTATCAACGACTGGAAAGAGTACAGGCGATGGCTACGAAGATGGTCAAGAATCTTCATCATTTGCCTTACGAAACCAGGCTGACCGAACTAAATCTGTTTCCTCTAAATTACAGGCAAATGCGCGGCGATCTCATTCAAACCTACAGGATTGTCAGAAGCCGTGAGTGTGCCCTAGATTTTGATGAATTCTTTGAATTGGCCCGGACTGACCGTCTGCGTGGTCATCCGTTCAAACTGCAAAGGAAGCGGGCTCATTCGGACGTCCGGCGTAACGCCTTCTCTCACAGGGTCATCGGGGCATGGAATGGACTCCCTGACGCCGTCGTTCTTTCCGAATGTGTCAAATCCTTCAAGTGCAGACTAGACGCTCACATGTTGAGAACCTACTGTACATACAATAATGATTGTTTTAGCGGCGGCAGTTTGCGCCTAGCTCACACTTACCGCTAACTTCCTAACTTTTCGCATTTGCTGATGTAATTGATGACTTTATATCTGTTTATTGATATGAATAGGGAGCTCAAGGGCGAAAGCCTCATTCCCTTAATAAACTGACTTAAACTGACTTAATTAATTTATAGTGTCAGACGGGTGATCTGGAAACGAATACATGGTTATCTATACGTTAAAACAGAGGGGTCGGCTAACGCCATGGTGCGAGTTCTCGAAAATTCTGTAATTGTACCTACGGAGGAAATCGATCCGATCGGACCGAAGTGGTCTGTACCGGAAATACGCGTGCTTCCCACGATCGTTATATCTGCTGCGACATGACTCGACCCCAAAAAAGCGGGCAAAGCCCAAAGTGGCCCAGCGGGTATTGTTAACGATGAACAAATATGTACCTAGTTTCGGCTTGAAACAACGTGTGCTTTTGTGTCCGTCTGCTGCTTGGCGTCATTGTTTTGTTGATTGCGCGCATGCGCCTCAATCCTTTTTAGTCAAGTGCTGCGAAAATTTATATTTTTGGTCATATCTATCCGGACGTAAATTCTCCCGAGCGGCAAGCTGCAGTAACCCACTTCAGCTTGGAACCTTTTTCGATTTTACCCAGGACATTCAGGCTGCGCCAGCTGATACTGGAGAGGGCTTCATTTTTCGTGAGTCAGCCCAAGTAGCAATAGATAGCGGGTATATATACGTATAATAGCTATTTATCGAGATACTAGACCTGGCACGTCACTGGTTGTCACTCTTATGCAATCTGGCCGTTGATTCGTTGCCGTTTGTATGTTACGTTGCCATAGCTCGCGCACGTGCGTACACGCCATTATCTCGTTTGTACGGCGTGGGACGCCTGGATCAACGTGAACTTGTTAATCTTTGCCATTATCCATTTATACCTTTGTCGCTTTCACCCTTTTTGTAACAATCTTTAGACAGGTGTCTGAAAGGACAATTAGACGCCGGATTAAGAAGTATGGGGTGGACATTATTCGGGCAGTTGAGGAGTCTTTTTTAAAAAGACGCAGGATTCATAACTCCTCGCTAGATATATTATTGGGAATCTTTAAATTCCGCGAGGATGAGGGATATGATATATGTACATCATTTATGGTAAGTGATGTACAAAGTGCTAGTACAGGTTGCCCTGGGGATGCAGAAGACAGAGGGGTCGTGGTCACTCAAAGTGGCCAGGAATACTCCAGGAAGTTGCACAGTTCGGCTTCGCGGTGTAATGTTGCACAAGCACACGTTCGGGATCTTCTAGTCATCATTAATCCGCTCGTGCCTGAACTCCCAGTCGACCCTAAAACGCTGTTGGCGGCCCCTTACGAGTTACAGGTAGCCCCGATGGGTAGCGGGGAATACGTGCATATAAAACTGTAAAGACAACTTTGCAGACTTTTACGCATTTGTAAGTAAGTAAGCGAAGTTGGCAATAGATGGTCTCCCCACGTATAAGAAATCGAAGACAGAAATGTGGCCTATATTGGGCAGAGTAGTCCATCCGTTTATTAGTAGTGTCTTTCCAGTTGGTATCTGTTGTGGCGGCGGAAAGCCATATGATATTCACGTGTTCTGTCCGTCACTGATTGATGAGATATGATACCCTCAGGAAAGAGGAATTCAATTCGACGAAATGCGCCAACCTGCTCACGTTCGGGTAATTGTCGTAATCTCTGATACGCCGGCCAGAGCTTTTCCAAGCAGATTAAGAACGGGAATGCCTACCAAGGATGCGAGCGTTACACAGTGGTAGGAGTATATATGGGGAAAGTTGTGTACCCCGAGGAAGGGGATCGGTACTGGAAAGATGACTTTTGCAGCCTACCGATGACGACCACACTGCCGGAATATCTCCGTCTTTGTCCCGGAATTTAAAACTTATCTTTAATTTTCCCCTAGATCCTCCACACATAATTTACTTGGGTGTAGTGAAAAAGCAGCTTAGTGTGTGCGTAATGAGTCACCGTCCAATAGCCAGTG